CCCCAGAACTTCACTTGGGATTTGAGAAAATTATTTTAGAACCTAACATGTATGTCTTAGCATTTTGTACTTTACAAATTGATGTTTTTATTATTTTTTTAAAGATTTATTTTTATTTTTATACAAGAACCGGGGTACAGGCCAGATGTTCGGGAGGGTGAGAGGATTCACCCGAGACAGAGCAGGGAACAGAACAGGCAGACCAACTGAAATACACTAGGGGAACAGTGGGTGAGACAGGAGAGGTCTGCCTCGCCATGTGGGTATCTCCACAGCGGGCAGGGATCAAACTGGCACTGAAGAGGCTGCAGACAGCTTCACAGCACTGCGTTCAACCACCTGTGCCACCAGGGAGGCCCAAATTGACTTATTTTTTTAAATAACATTTGATAAAGATACTTATGCAGGGCTTCTCTGGTGGCACAGCAGGTTGAGCACTGCACTGTGAAGCTGTCTTCAGCCTCTGCAGCATGGGTTCGATTTCCAGCCGGCCAGGGAGATTCCCACATGGTGCGGCAGACCTCTCCTGCCTGGCCTGTTGCTCCCCTCAGCAGTGTGTTTCAGTCAGTCTGCCTGTTCTGTTCCCGGCTCTGTCTCTGGTGAATCCTTTCACCCTCCCGTGACTCTGGGCTGTACCCCAGTTCTTGTATAAATAAATAAATCTTTAGAAAAAAAGGAACAGAAATATTTTTTTAAAAAAGATGCTTATGCAAACCAATTGAGAGAATTTATTCAAATTGAAACAAAATTTTTATGTAGTTTCTATTATGTGCAATATTATACATTAATACATAGGGTTACAAAGTTTTATAAGATAGTTTCTGACCTTGGGTGGTAATCTATGACTTACACCAATAACTCTACAATGCAAGATATATTAAAAATCTTGTAAGAGGACAATAAACAAAGCATAGAAATAGCCACAACCCAGCAAGGAATTTTATTGTAAGAATTAAATAATTATAGAGCTTCCATATGATCCAGCAATTCCACTCCTAGGTATTTACCCAAAGGACACAGAAACATCAATTCCAAAGACCTCCTGCACCCCTATGTTTATAGCAGCACTGTTTACAATAGCTAAGCTTTGGAAACAACCCAAATGCCCAAAAATAGATGACTGGATCAAGAAGATGTGGTACATATATACCATGGAATATTACTCAGCATTCAAAAAAGATAAACACATGCAATTTACAGCAACATGGATGGCGCTGGAAGGGATCCTGCTCAGCGAAATAAGCCAGAAAGAAAAAGAAAAATACCGGATGGTCTCACTCATAGCAGGAATCTAGAAAACTTAAATAAGGGACCAGGAAAATGAATAACTATAAGAAAGTGAAAATCAAAATCAACAAAAAACTATGAACCAGAGACACTCTATGGGGGGTGGGGGCCAGGGAGGGGAGGGATTGAGGTCAAAATAAGGGGATTGCAATTGTATGGGGAATATAAAATAAAATTTATTATAATTTTTAAAAAATAATTAAATAATTATAAATTATATATAAGTGTTACATATATAAATATATGACATGTATATTATAATTATATGAGTATGATAACAATTATTAGTACAATAATATCAGGGTAGAGAATTTTTAATAACACATTACTTAATAGACTTAGCTGGATTAATGCTCTGAAAGCCCTGATATTAGTTTTCTGAAGTTGAATCTCCATGTTTATTTGAGGCGTCTTCTTCACTTAAATATAAAGATATTCTTTATTCTCCATTTCACCTGACTTATTTCTGCACCAATTTTTAACTATTAATATTCTGGAAAGTTGATATAGACCGTACTGAAGGAACTTGGCTGTATAACAGTTAACAGAAACAGCCTCATCATACAGGTGTTCTTATCATTTTTTTTAATCACAGATATTTATTCTAGGTGTAAGGTTCCATGTAGTACTACAATTTATCAGGTCCTATAAAGAAAGAGAATATGCCACAGAGAGAAGGGATTCAAGAATGAAAATAATTTTATTAACACTTTTTGCATGTAAGCCAACCCCAACTTTTGAAACTTAAAAATTACCCTATGAGCAATGCCAATATAAATTTAGTAACCCTAAAAATAGTGTCTAAATAGTTCAGAAATGTGTTCACATGTACCTATTTGTAAAATTCTTAAAAGAACAAGTGAGCAGAAAATGAATTCTCAGTCAGGATCAATATGCACATAGATTTGGTAATGAAATATCCAGGAGACCACCGAGTAACTCTTCCAAATGAGAATGAGGAGACCCATAGTCCATAAAACAACAAAACCCAAATAGAACCATTAAACAACTGTGAATGCCTTTATATAATAACTTTTAATGATATAAAGATATTAAATGAACTAAGTGTCCCATTATTAGGCACATTGTCAAGACTGAATTTTCACAAACTGAATGTAGCCAACCATTTCAAGCACCTATGATTACCACTATACCCCAAATTATCAAAGGAAATGTGCTAGTTATTTACTGAAAATTCTTTGGGAAATAAATATTTCAGATCTTATTCAATAATTGTATAACACATTTCAACACTTCAGAAATCTGCTGTTATACAGCTTGGTAATTTATTCAAATTATTCCTTATATGGGCTCTTTCTCTCCCCACTATACCCTCAGTTTTCAATAGCCTGTAGTTTTTCATTATCTCCCACAGACAAAGTGCTTCCAACATGACCATTGATAAATAAATTACTCACTTATTTTAAATAAATTTGTGTTTCTTGCATTTTTGAATGTCTTCCTTTTTAGAGAGCTAACTTGAGTTTCTTTTCATTGAACATTAAATATATTCTCAAATAAGAATATTAAGCTTCATTGCTTTTACTCTCTACTGAGAACAAGTCTCACTCTCCAGCACAGAATCCCTCACCCCACTTTCCCTGCTTCCTTTCCCCCACATTGTAGTTGCTAGTTTCTAACACATTTTACAAATTACTTATTGTTTACAGTCATTGCTCATTGTCTATTTGTGCTGGAATGTAGCTTCGTGAGCAGACAGATCTTTGCTTGCTCACTGAAGGATCCAGCACTGAAGGATTTCACCCAGCATCTAGAGCAGTGCCTGCCCCTAGTAGAACTCAAAATATTTTTTAATTAAATGAATGAACCACTTTATCCTGTGCTTTGGTTGTTTTATTGCAGTTTGTTATTTGTTTGTTTATGAAGATAATGTTGGCTTATAACACTATATATGATTTAGGAATACAGGCTCACATCTTTTCAGATGTATGTTTCCACACTGTCTCCACACCCCATAACCCTCCACTATAGTCCATTAGATCTCCTCCCCCTGGAGTTTCCCATTCCTGCTCTGGTAGTCTCAGTTCTGTACTCAGATTTCTAGGGTATATGTTGGTTTAGGTTTTTCTGTAGCTCGTTTTGTTTCTCTATATTCCAAATATTAATGAATGAAGATGATTTCTGATTTAATTTACTTAGCATATCCCCTTAAGTTCCATCTGCTTGTGCTTTGATTTGATGAAATGATAAAAATGAGTGAAGGGGTCTCCCTGGTGGTGCAAGGGATTAAGCGTCAGCACTGTGAAGCTATCTGCAGCTACTGCTGCACAAGTCAGATCCCCAGCCAGGGAGGTGACCCACATGGAGCAGCAGACCTCTTCTGTCTCACCCGCTGGCCCCCTCAGCAGTGTATTTCAGTCAATCCACCTGTTCTGTTACCCGTTCTTTCTCTGGTGAATCCTCTCACCCCCACACCTCTGGCCTGTACCCAAGTTCTTGTATGCATAAATAAATAAATCTAAAAAAAATGAGTGAAAACCTTTAGAATAGAGTCCGCATCTACCATCTTGAGTATTGATGTATAAACACCCAACTTCAGTTGTACTCATCTCCAAATGTACTTGTTTGCCCTGTTCCACATACAAAATATAGATGTATTTTAAAATAAAAATCATTTTTATCAGGTGACATACCCACAGAATAGGTTTGCCTGTGCTGAATTGAACCTCTACACTCATATCAAAGCCTGAGAAATGAACTAGTTTAGTTGCTCACTGGCACATGGGGAGTGCCACATGGCCAAGTAAGCCCTGGCCCATGCTTTCCTCTGCTTCTAGCCTGCATTGTGATTTTGAGCTTCATTGAGTTAAAGGGCACGTGGGCAGAGGTGTGAACGATGATAAAATGTCCTTGTATGTGAACTTCATGGTTTCCTACTAGACTATTCAATTGATTCCAAATCTAAAACTGGCATCAGACATCACTTGCATGGCCTTGAAGTGATTCATAGACTTCAGCTGAGATAAGACATACCTTGACAAACATTCAAATTATATTCTTTGGGTTTTTTTGGACAAGCATGATATCAACAGTCAAGTCTTGAAAGGCACAAGTGATATGAGTATTGAAATATTTCTACTGACAGGATCAAACTTTTATGGCCACCAATAAAAGACATTTCATTAGAGAGTAAACATTATCACTCCCTCATGCAGGTGAATTTAGGCCATTTTTGTGCTGGGATTATTGATTCCTCTGCCGCTCATGATCCTGGAAATTAGGGAGTAATTTTCTCATGTCTCACCTGGTGTGTTCTCAACTCTTAATTCAACACAGCAAGATTTTCTAATTCAGGTGGAACAGTTGATCAGGCTGGACAGTATGTAGGATGAGAACATGGTATAAATTTTGGAGCCTAGGTCCCAGTATAAGAGAGCATGACAACTCTTCTTTCAAGAAGTATGTGAATTTTATTTACCAACTACTCCAGCATCATTAATCAGAAAATGAAGCTTTTAATTCATGTATTTCATGTCTTCCAAAATTAGTCAGAAAGAGCTTAATGTGTTAATATGTAATAAATATCATTTTAGTTCTACAAGAATTTCCGATGTAAGTTAAGTAGACTGTATTTAAGAAAGTATTGAGAGTGTCTTTTAAATGTCCTTCCTTTTTAATATACTATGTGTTTACACAGTGCAGAAAATGTGTTTTATAAATTCATAACTTCTACATTTGATTACTTTCCACAGATACAACACACTCAGGGGAAATTGGCACAAAGAAAAAGGTGAAACGACTGTTAAGTTTTCAAAGATACTTCCATGCATCAAGGCTGCTTCGTGGAATTGTCCCACAAGCCCCTCTCCACCTGCTGGATGAAGACTACCTTGGACAAGCAAGGGTGAGCTAGTTACCCCTCAGTGCTAGTGGCCAAGAGCACGTTTCTCTGCTGATAGCACCCAGAGCTGAGTCCTACTCCCACTGCCAGGACTCTGGTTAGCTATTCAACACAGCAAGATTTTTTTCTCAAATATAAAATGAAGTTAATGAAAATACCCACTTCATTGGAGTGACGTGAACGTTAGATGAAGTGAACATGGGTGCATGCCTAATATCCCCACGGGCACATACCAGTTACTTTCATTTTTATCAATGTGCAAAACATTTGCACAACATTAAAATTTTGGACTGGAGGAAATAGCTAAGTAGTCCATTGAATTATCTCATTGTAATAGCTCCACTGAAATAAACCCAGTAACTACCCATCTTTGTTCCACCTAGGGCTATTAATATGGTATATTGATCTTTTAATCATTTGTGGCTCATTTAAGTAATTTTTACTAATTTTATTAATTAATTAATTAATTAATTTTTACTAATTTACTAATTTACTAATTAATTAATTTTACTAATTTTATTTTTGCAAGTAAGAGATTTGCAAAAATCTCTTTGATTTGACTCAGAATAGAAGTCAATGTAAGAATCTTTTAAAAAAAAAAAAAAAGTCCCTGGGTTATTTGTAGCCCAAACTGCCAAAGGAATCTAAATTTCAGCATTCTCCCTGGTGGTGCAAGGGATTAAGATGCAGCACTATGAAGCTGTCCGCAGCCACTGTAGTACGAGTTCAATACCCAGCCAGGGAGGGGACCCACATGGCGCAGCAGACCTCTCCTGACTCACCCGCTGCTCCCCTCAGCAGTGTATTTCAGTCAATCTGCCTGTTTTCTCTTCTTTCACACCTCTGCCCATGTGCCCTTTTCCTCAATGAAGCTCAAAATCACAATCTGCTGTTCAATTTCCCATTTTGTCTCTGATGAATCCTATCACCTCCCCCCACACCTCTGGCCTGTACCCCAGTTCTTGCATGCATAAGTAAATAAATCTTTTTTAAAAAATAAGAATAAAAATAAAGGAATCTAAATTTTGGAAGTAAAGTGCCTCCTTTAAACAAAAGTGAAAGGTAGTTTCCCATGGTTTACATGCTAAGTAATATTATGCTATCTAGGTACTATTAAGAAACATGTATTGTTGATACACTCTATTAAGAAATAAGCAGCAAGTAAGAGAGAGAGCTAATTGTCAACATTAGATCTAAACCAGGAAAGTAAACCATTCTTTCTAGCAACCCAAGGCCTGAGGTTGAGTGAATATTTCTTTCTCCAGTTGGTTGGTTAGCTGTTTGGTGACAGGGGAGCAAGACCAAGCCCTCAGGACAAGGGCACAGTGGTGGAGCACTGTGGGTGTGACTCCCCTCTACCCAGTCACCTCTTCAGAAAGTCACATTGACATCTAGAGAACTGCAGGGCAGAAGTCAGGTTATCAGGGATTATTCCTGGCTCTGCCTTTGGAGTTGTATGTCTTGGATAAAATGGTCACTCAGTCTAGACCCCTCAAATAAGCTACTAACCTTTCATTTTTCTGACACTGCTGTGAAAGTCTTCATTGGCCATGATGAGGCCTTTGGATTTCCTCCTAAGACACAAGGAAGCCTTTAAAGGGTAGGTAGGGAAGGGCCAGCTGGTGCTTTTCTGCAGCAGTGCCTATGGAAAGAGAAGAGAGCAGAAGTGAGGCATAGTGGCAGGAGCTGTGGTGAGAACAGAATCAGCAACTGCAAGTTTGTCTGAGAGTTAACACCATCTCATTCAAACATGGGATCTCCTTAAAACATAGAATAAAAACCCAGCATTGGACAGTAGGTCTTTAAATTATGCAATGTTCAGTTGCCCACTTTTAACTTTCTTTTTTTTTAAGATTTATTTTTATTTATGCATACAAGAACTGGGGTATAGGCCAGAGGATTCACCAGAGCAGGGAGCAGAACAGGCAGATTGACCGAATACACTGCTGAGGGGAGCAGTGGGCAAGACAGGAGAGGTCTGCCTCACTATGTGGGTAGCTCCCTGGCTGGGCATCAAACTCATGCTTGATAGAGCTGACTTTAACCCCCACACCACCAGTGAGGCCCCCCACTTTTCAGTTTCTTTTCTGTTACAGTGGTTAATATCACATTTAATCCAAATTAGCAGAATAAAGTGCTTAGCAATCATTTTTATTTCATTTTTTAGTGTTGCTATAAAACTCCTCCTTTAAGTATAGGATAGTTTGTAGAGATTTTGATAAAATAGAACATTAACACATGTCTAACTTTTTACTACGTACATGCCTTGTTTTAGGCACTTTATTATGTTACCTTACTTAATTCTCACTACCAATCTTGGATGTAATATTCTCAGTCACCTTTTTCAAATTAGGAAACTGAGGTTCAGAGAGATTAAGGAACTAACCCAAATCCCACAACCAATAAACTAACTTGGAACCAGCAGTCTGACTACAAAGCCTATCCTTTTAGCACTGCTAGTATTAGCAAGCAAGTAAAATTTGCTTTACTACAAACCAGTTGCATGTAGAGCATAGTAAGCTACTATTTTCAACTTTTTAATTGTTTAATTCACCATGTCTCAAAGTAAATGTTTGCATCTCTAAGATGATTCATTTGGGTGCTGTTTCTGTTTGCCTTTTCAGCATATGCTCTCCAAAGTGGGAATGTGGGATTTTGACATTTTCTTGTTTGATCGTTTGACAAATGGTAAGTCATCCAAAACAATTCGCACTACAATACACACTATAAGTGGGATTAGTTTCAAGAAAACAAAATTTATTTTTAAACATTTATTCTTCTTTTCCTCCTTTCCCCACTTTCAAATATCTACAGCTACTTAAGAAGGACTAAGGCTAGGAAAAATTAATTCAGATGAAGAATAAGAACTGAATTTGGCCTTAGAACCGTAAGACAGTTTCCTTCTGACCTTGGTGATCTCAAAGGAATTTGGAAATCATAGGATTCAATTCTTTCCTATAGAATACTCTGGTCCCATCCAAAAGGAGGAAGTCCACTGTTAGTAGATTAGAAGGAAAAACACAAAAGTGCATCTGATCGGTCCTGACACTCACAAGGCAGGTGTTCATGCACTTTCACTAACTGAGCTGGATCTTCCCCATTGTAAGTGTTGTTCAGGTACATTTGGCATCACACAAAGAAAACAGTTATTGAGGACAGTGTAAAGGTTTAGACTGCAGCTAATGGGAAAAAGAGATCCTAAATGTTGTGCCTGTAGTGGTTTTCTTTAAGAATATTATAAGATCTTATTATATATATATTTTTTTTTTTTAGAGGCATGTTTTTATTTATTTATTTGTTTGTTTGTTTGTTTTTTTGTTTATACATGCACTGGGTACAGTCAGAAGCGCGGGAGGGTGAGAGAATTCACCAGAGCCAGAGCGGGGAGCAGAGCAGGCAGAAGGACCTAAGTACACTGCTGAGGGGAGCAGCGGGCGGCAGGAGAGGTCTGGGCGCCATGTGGGACCCTCCTCCAGTGGCCGGGGAGCAGCCGGGGATCGAACCGGCGCCGCGGAGGCTGCGGGCAGCTTCGCAACCCAGCGCTCAACCGCTGCGCCACTGGGGAGGCCCAAGATCTTATTATATTTTCATCTGCCCATTAAATGTGTGTTAATAAGCTCAGGGAACCAATAAGGAACATGATATTAAATGCTGATCTTCCCATGTCCAGCCACCTACCAGGTGGGTGCTTTCACCCATCATAGACCATTTTCTTACTGTTCTGTTACTTGATAAATGATATTCAGTTGAGAGAACACAACCTGAAAACTATGAAACTTTATACTGTGGAACACTAACTAGAATTTATAGGCCTGATCCCGTAATCTTGTATTTCACTTTCCTCAAATCACCTGAGATGGATACCACTAAATGAAATTAAGTGTGAACAAAAGAACTTGTTCAGTAGTAGTTGCTAGAAAAGAATATAATCCTCTCATAAAAATTTGAAATGAGGAAGTCAATGATTTTATTTAACTCAATTAATTAGAAATCCATATAGATGCTATAACTGGTTCAAAGGAGAATTCAAAGAGTCATATGTATATAAGCAGTAAGAAAAGCTGAAATGATTTTTAAATAACTACAAAAATTGGGAAGGGCAAATCAATTGTATTTCTACCTAACTAACTTTATTTGCATGCTTATGGACAAGAATCACCTGCAATGCTATCAGTTATTTGTAACCTTGTTGAGAAATAGTTCAAATAAAATGAAAGTTGTAGAGAGACATAAAATCAGGTACCCTGGCAAATGTGCTTAGGCAACACCTAGGTTTCCATTCAAGACATTCAGTGATCTTGTGTTCCTTTTCAATGTCTTTCATTATCTTTATAACATTTAAAATTCAGGGCCTCCCTCGTGGTGCAAGGGGTTAAGCACCATACTATGGGGCCATCCACAGCCTCTGCAGCACAAGTTCCGTCCCCGGCCAGCCAGGGAGCTACCCACATGGCATAGCAGACCTCTCCTTTCTTGTCCGCTGCTCCCCTCAGCAGTGTACCTCGGTCAATCTGCCTGCTCTGTTCCCAACTCTGTCTCTGGTCAATCCAGTAATATTTCTTGAATGTTTAAAATTTATTATAGCTTTAATTTTTCACTTCTGCTGACAAATTATAAAATACCTCATGGTCAAATCTCATTTTGGGTTACCTTCCACAGGAATAATAGACTATAACTATTAAGTAATATGGCAGCTTCTACCCCTATAAATGTAAGTCTATTGGAAAAAATTTAAGGCACATGTCAAGTGACCATTAGACTGTCATCTAAAAATGCATATGTTTGTGTGAATGTGTATGAGTGTATTTCCCTCCTACCTCAATTGGTAGACTCTTTCAAACTCTCAAATGTTTTCATTGTCTTTGATATAAGGAGAAAGACCAAGTTAATTTTACTTGTATAATAAGAGAACACTAGGACCAGATCATGGTAATAATATCTTTTATAATTAAATAATTTCAAATCAAAAGGGGAAAAGAATTTCCCCACTAGGGAAATTTCATTGCAGAAACTTTGTATCTTATTGTCAATCTTGATATTTCTATGGTGATGAAAATGAGTTAAAACAGGTAACTATTTCTACAGGAAACAGTCTGGTAACACTGCTGTGCCACCTCTTCAATACCCATGGGCTTATTCACCATTTCAAGTTAGATATGGTGACCTTACACAGGTTCCTAGGTAAGTGTTTTTTTTCTATATTCCTATTCCCATTCCCACAAATAATGGCAATTATAATATTCTCTAATATAAAGTAGCAAGAACCACAGTATGCAGGTGAAGACCTCAAATTATCTCATTAATTTAAAAATGGATTTACCCATTTTAATCACTGGAAAAATGTTTATTTGATTAGTGATACTGATGATAGATGAAGGCTATATAAAGAAATACACTGAGAACATGTAACTGTCAAAGAAGATACTCATCTGCTCACATGTTGACAAAATTTCCAGTAAGCTATGCTTCAAGCAATGATGATCTGGATGTGAGTTGCTGAAAATCTTCAGTAGTTTGTTGGGTTTTTTTTAAATAAGAATGACCATGTATGAAAGGTACTTTAGGTATGCTATTTCTAGCCAGGTAAGTTGGATGTTATTATCACCATTTGGCCCTTAGATAAGGAGAGGTACAAACAGGTTTTGTAACTTGCTCAGGCTCAGAGTCAACAGCTGGCAGACGCTCCGTCCAGCCAAGCAAGCCCAAGGCTGTCTGACTTAAAAGCCCACCATCTTTCCACTCAATGCCACCATCACTACCAAACAGCATCCCCAGTTCTCACTTGACTTGATGTATTTTTACTTGCCAGTGAATTATCCAGGACACATTTTTAATCACCAAGTAATTCCTTTCGGCCACTTTGTATCCTTCTAGTTGCTTTGACTCCCCACATGGTTGTAATTTTATTTTAGAATCTGATTTACCCTTTGAGATTAGAACTATTATCCCGATTTTATAGAAAAAGAAAATTGAAGAGCCTAACAAGTAACTTGCTGATATAATATATACTAAGAGATAGAGTCAGGGATTAAATATAATTATAAAATAAGCCTGATGAATTAAAGGTATACATGGCAAAAGAGAAGTATCTGAAATCAGCCAGAACATGGTTCAGTTCCAGAAACACAAATAATCTCAAGCTAATTGTAGTTAGATTGCTTGAGTGAAGCAATGATCATGACTAGGGCCAAATGGTTCTTATTTGAAGAGGGAGACCAAAGGTACTTTGGACATGTATATGTGCCCTGAATTCATGTAAAGAATGCAAAGATTAGATAACAAATCCCAGAGTCAAATTTGTAGCATGTGCTGAGAGAATGGTCACACTTACAAATCTGGGTATTTGATACACACCGAATATATTGCATCCTAAGTTTTGCCTGGATTATTCGCTAGAGCAGACTAGTGACTTCTGTGAATAGCAAACTAAAATTGCCTTGCTTAGATCTCTACTTGGTTCCAATAGCACCCTGGTCCTTAGATTGGAAGGGCATGAAAGATGATAACTTAATCTGATTAAGGTAGAAATAAAACCAAGGATCCTTGGTTGGATCAATGCAGTACTTTGAGATTCTGCCTGATGAAGCCCCTAAATTTGCTTTGGTCAGTAAGTGTAATTCAAGTGATAAACCAATCCTTGAATATCAGAAATCTGATGCTACTAGTGCTTTTTTAAATAAAACCTCTTTTATGGTGTATTATTCATAGATGGCAGCAAACTTAAATAATTAAACTATAGTGTGAACTGAAGTTGTCCTTTTCCTACATATTTATTTTTCCTATGAATGAGAGCCTTCATAGACGCCAGAAAGGGGTAATTTATGAAGGTGGTGAGGAATCCCAAGAGCCTCACAAATCCTTTTAGCCTTTCTTCTCTCTTCGTTCCCCCTCCCCTCCACTAAAAACAGCCCGGTAGAGCTGCCAAGCTTGCAAACCACATGCATTTTTAAAGGATCCCCAGACTGCACATTTTGGAGACACTAATATTTTTAAGAGAAAGGGACCCTCAATAAGGCTGAGCTATGCCCTTTCTGTTTTACTTTGCCCTTACTGAGATATCTGTCTCCTAGTCATGGTTCAAGAAGACTACCACAGCCAAAACCCATATCACAATGCTGTTCATGCGGCCGACGTCACCCAGGCCATGCACTGCTATCTGAAGGAACCAAAGGTAAGTCAAGACCCAGCTGCCTCCTCAGCCGTGTGGAAATGCCAAGTAAACTACCTGCTAGAGCCAAATCACCCAACGTATCAGAGTAACTGTGTTATGGGTTATTCACAACACAAATGCAATTATTTATATTAATGTTCAAAGATTAGCTCTGAAAATCATATAACATTAAAGAGAATGAAATTTTTTGAGGTTCACTTTCATATTATGCAATAGGACAAAAACGATCTTCTCTATGACAATCTACATCTTAGATGTTATCAACAGTCCTAGGAATTAGCTGTTTTGACTTAGAGCTTTGCCATAAACTGGAACAGCATTGAACTTTTCTGAGAAAGGTCTCTCACCTCATGGTTTTTGATCTAGAAATAAAATCAAAGTGTCTTAATATTTAAGTTCCATCTCTGGCAGAGACAAGTGGACAGCCTGACTCAGGCCTAAGAAAACTTGTGAATGACAGAGACATCTTAATAAGCATGCTCTGATATAATAACCCAATCCAAAATTTAAAACATATAACAATGTTCATTACTCAAAATCTAGGCATTGCTTACCCACACAAAACTTTGTTGGTATAACATATAGATTAAGTTTTCTTTGGGTTTTTGGAAAATTATATCTTAATCCAAAACTCAATTTAGTTCAAGCAGTTTTAATATCAACCACCAAATATACAGATGTCAAACAGGCATTCCCAAGACAAAACTGGGTAGGTAAAATCCCCTCTAAAATACCCCAAAGACATTAAAGGTTTTAGGTTCTGGTCTACAAAACTTGTACTGCATCACACAGTTGCATATTTAAAGTTAGTACTGGATTTCCGTTATCCTGAGTGTTTTCCTAGCTAACCAGAAAACAAGAAATTCTCATACATTCTCTTACTATGTATTGCACTCAGGAAAAAATATGCAACTTTTGCAATTTGGCCTACTCTTAATTTCATATTCAAAGAAATGGCAGTTATGGAAATGGATTGGTAAAATACACTTTTTTTAATATGTCCATCATTTGAGTTCAGCTTTTCGCTTCATGTATAGCTTTCTCCAGGAGTGAGACTGATGTCAGGCTCTGTCTTCTCCCTACCCACCACAGGCAGTATGCTACAACAAAACAAGACAGACTTGCATTAGGAAGAAGAGGCTACTTAATGACAGGCACAAGTTGAGTTATTAATTATTTCCCACACAGTCCTGTTTTTTTCCTGCATGTCCATGAGACTCTAACCTCATTGACTACTTTCAGAGGATCAAATTCTGAATGAAAGCCTGTGCAATACTATGATGATTCATTCAGTTTGACTTAGCCAAAACAAAAGTCAACCAATTTAATTTGTTCACAGCTTGCCAGCTTCCTCACCCCCCTGGACATCATGCTGGGACTACTGGCTGCAGCAGCACATGATGTGGACCACCCAGGGGTGAACCAGCCGTTTTTGATCAAAACTAATCACCACCTCGCCAACCTGTATCAGGTAAGGGAGCCAACATTAAGCTAAATGACAATACTACTACCTTATGTCCAGTGCTAGAGCCTGACCTCACCCGTGGAGAATACTTTATTCAGGGTCAGCCTTAATGATGACCACAACCAGAGTCTGGCTTTGAAATAGGTCCAGGTTATCTCACAAGGGACATTAAATTGGTTTACCAGGACAGCCAAGGAATTCCGTTTGCTCCAAAGTAGGTTTGAAATTGTCTTAAGTCAAATAGGATCCCTGAGTCTACCCTCCTGTGGCTTAATAACGTCTGTCTCAATGAAACCATCTTGTATGTAACGTCCAGTTGCAATTAGTCCTTTGTAGGACTTCTATAAATGATATTTCCTAATTCTAATTTATGTCCTTAGAGCCATTTCTGAACTTTATTTACCTCTGACTCAGAGGTATGTTATCAGAAACTATAGGCAGACTTTGTTGCTATGAAATAATTAAATAGTATGAGTAGGTTGGACTGAAGAACTGTTATTTATGATATTGTTTATGATATTAACTCATGTCATAAATGAACTATTCCCAGAATTGTCAACATATTCTTTAGAGACTTTTGGTTGTTATTAAGAACATCATTACATACAAGGAATCGTGGGTATCAATTTTGGCAGATCTCTTGAAAAAAGTCAGAGCTGAAAAACAAACCATCAGACCCTGACAACAGAATGATGATTTCCAGAAAGGAAAAGGATGGGGGAGAGGAGACTAAATAGAGAGAGCAGATTGGATAGTGGTGGATGGTAACATGACCCTTTGTGTTGGGTGTGGTATGGGACATATATTTCTTGAGGTGTGAAAGAGTACTCCTGAAATTCATCTATGCTACAAACCAAAGTTGCCTCAATGAAAAAAAGAACTTCTGAAGGCTCTGCACACCTGCATCATGCAAGGCATTGCAGCGTTATTGCCAATAAAGTACAGTTGGAACATGAAGGGGAAAACTTTTTTAATCCCATTGATAAGCCTTTGGCACAAGTGGAAATTGTGGAATCCTAGGGTTTATGGGTCCACTCATTACATACTTCTGCCAAGAGGCTCCCTTGGACTGCAGTCAGTATCCGAAGCTGGGACAGATACAGCCATAGGGAGGGGACAGAGTGACAGGAGAAAGCCTTCTGATCATGAGCTAAAAAATAAATGAAAATTTAAACTACAGCTTAATTTTCTAAACCATCTCAGAAGGTAAACATCACTTGAGGGCAAAATAGACACTTGATTAACAAAAAAAGTAAATGACTGGACTACATGCTCCCAAACTGTCTTTAAATCCCGTCAATTCTGGTTTTTTCAAATATCTTTAATTAGACAAAAGAAATCAATCAAAAGGTTGTTATAAATGAAATGCTTATATAATTCTAATTTCTTATCATTGAGTAAATCAAATAAATGGAACTTAAAAGTATCTGTTGCTATGCCATGGTCCTTTTGTTACGGGGCAACCCTGATATAAAATGGGTTGCCTGACTGTGGGTCTTCACCCACGCGCTTAAAATGGACTTAAACTGTAGGCACACACAAAAAGGCTAATCAAAGCTTTATTTAAAAGGGAAGGGGAAATGAGGAAATGAACAATTCAGGGAGAAAAGAGGGAGATAAATTCTTAAATGCATTCTACCTTTTCTGCCAACCCGGAATCCCAAATGACCTACCGAGAACAAACCTGCCTGGCCAAGAGCACGAGCCAAGAAAGCAAGAGACCCCATTAACATGGCTGGTTTTATTTACAAACAGAGAAAATGGCTGCTTAACTTCGCCCTTAGGTCCTCACAACCTCCATTTGGGGATCATGGGATTTGTAATTCCCAGTGTCCTGATGGAGGGGGGATGGCATCCACAAAGCCTGTATGGAGTTTGCGCAGGACATCCTTTCCCCCTAACACTTTGACATGTAGCACATAAAAACACATTATAAATTCTCATTCAAACAGGAAGACAAAAAGAATGCACCAGATTTATTTTTTTTTTAATTTTTTTTGAAGATTTATTTATTTATACAAGCACTGGGTACAGTCAGAGTGCGGGAGGGTGAGAGGATTCACCAGAGACAGCGGGGGGGAAAAGAGCAGGCCGACTGAAGAAATACACCACTGAGGGGAGCAGCGGGCGGCAGGAGAGGTCTGAAGTGCCATGTGGGACCCTCGCCGGTGGCCAGGATAGAACCAGCGCTGCAGAGGCTGCGGGCAGCTTCGCAACCTAGCACTCAACCGCTGCTCCACAGGGGAGGCCCTCTGCACCAGATTTTAAAGACACACAAACAAGAAAATGTAGAATTGCTCACTGCTAATTACCAAAGTTTTTCCCAAAAGAAAAATACTCCAACATACCTTATTCAGATACCAGAAATGTTCTCCCAAGAACAATTTCAGGTCTCCCTGTTGGTATAAGTGGTTAAGTCTGAGCACTAATAAAGCAATCCACAGCCACTGCAGCAAGAGTTCGATCCCTGGCCAGGGAGCTGACCCTCATGGCACAGCAGACCTCTCCTGCCTCTCCCTCTGCTCCCCTCAGCAGTGTATTTCAGTCAGTCTGCCTGTTCTGCTCCCCACTCTGTCTCTGGTGAATCCTCTCACACCCCCCCCCACACTTCTGGCCTACATGCCAGCCCTTGTTTGCATAAATGAATATCTTTAAAAAAAGAACACTTTCATTTCTCAAACCTTCAAAATGTAGATAGTTTAATAAATTTACTTTTAATCTCTTTGTGAAAAATAAACATTTCAATACAATCAGATTTTTCAGACTTTTCAATGTAACATGCAAACTAATACATTTTTAATCAGCAACTATTTATTATATATATAGGATGATCTATACTAGAATTTAAGAATACAAAGATTTATAAAATATAATATCTGCCCTCAAGCTCATATCTGTTTAAACTCAGATGTTCAAAATGTGCAAAATCCAAGCAAATCTAATCCCAATTAAAAGAATTTTGAGAAGTTAAATATAGACATAAGTGTAAATATAGATGGATGATAGCTACATTTTTTTAAGTCTCTGTGCTGTTCTTTGTAGTCAATGATGCTACTACAATAAAATGAGCTATTGTTTTTCCCAACAGTAACTTAATCCATGTTGATGTGGAGAAGATCCCTAGTAGAAAGAGAAGGATCCTTTTGATAATGACTAGAAAGGAATTGGGATTATGCTCAAAAACCACATTCAAGATACTACCTTCATTAGTCCCCTGTTCAACTGGTCTTAGGATCTGTTGAAAATCATGCATCATGTCTTTAAGTTTTGGTGCTAGGTTAAAGGTAGACTATTATCCCATAATATCACAAAGATATTTCCAATGCCCTAGAACTAGCTAGGATAAAAGCTTAAACTTTTATCAGTCAAAGTGGGACTTTTTCTAATAAGACAAATTGTTAACAGGACATGAAAACAGTAGATTTCAGTTTTGCTCTAAAAATATGTCGTTGGGTTATATGCCACTGATTATTAACTCTCTGAAGGAACTCTTCTAAAAAGAAAAAGAAAATTCCCTGTAAAATCTAGTTCAGCAAATTGTATAATTAATCTGTATTCAATATCTGCCTTATATAATCCATGATCCAAATATGTGCTGAATGACTCTGATGTATGATATGGTTTAATCTTCATAATAGCCCTGTTAGGTAGGTCCTATTGTCACATCTATTTTCCAGGAAGAGGAAAATGGATACTTAGAAAATGTAAGTGTTTTCTCTAAAAATAAGCAGCTAGTTAATAGCAGTGCTGGGTTAAGTTTTTTATCTCCAGAACTGAAGTGTCTAAGCAACGTAAGTATTGCTTCCAAAATTCAAGTTGATCACCTACTGTGTGCAGGATACTAAGAATTTTCACCAGGTCTTCTATTACAGTAAGGGAGATAAGAGGACTAGAGGCAAGGAATTAAAATGGGGGAGACTTTGCTTAGTATTCTACAGTGCATAGCTACAACCTAACTGTGATGGGGAGCCAGAGAGAGAGAAATAGCTTCTGAAGACGGTTTCTGCATGAACACCTTTTGCAGGAGGAAAGGTATAAACTGGGCCATGAAGTGTGACTAAGAGGAGATGAGCTGAGAGGAGTCTCTCCCAGGTAGCACGAGCTGGTGTGCCTTGGGGATTAAAACCCACACCTCCAAGATAACTGAAAATGAGCTGTCCCTATGACCTTTTGCTGAGTAGATCCTGCCATAAACAGCCCCTTCTCCCAGATCAATATCTTGGGCATATTATGATTAAATATGTATTTCCTCCTTTGTAGAATTCGTAGATTATCTGTACAGGATTATGACCTGGGTCAGAAAACCTTCACCAAGTTGTAAATGAGGAATTGGCTTACCTCTTTAGGTTTTCAACTTCAAGAAAAAATAACATGTTATAAAATGTATAACATAATGTTTAAATTGCACAAAATCTTTAACAGCACTTGATATTTAAAACTCTTTGTAACTGGGGCCTCCTTGGTAGTGCAAGGGGTTCAGATGCAACCTATGAAGCTCTCCACAGCCACTGCAGCATGAGTTAGCTCTCCAGCCAGGGAACTACCCACATGGCGCAGCAGACCTCTCCAGTCTCACCTGCTTCTCCCCTCAGCAATGTATTTCAGTACATCTGCCTGTTCTGTTCCCCACTCTGTCTCTGGTGAATCCTCTCACCACCCCCCAAACACACACCTCTGCCCTGTACCCCAGTTCTTGTATGCATAAAAATAAATGTCTTTAAAAAATAATAATAATAAAATAAAACTCTTTGGAACTGTAACCTTTTAGCCCACCAAGACCTGTTGGCTGAGACAAGAATAGGCTTTCAACCTAAATAAGGGACCAGGAAAAAAAATAACTATAAGAAAGAAAAAAATCAACATCAACAAACAACTATGAACCAGAGACACACTATGGGGGGTGGGGAGGCGGGGAAAGTAGGGATTGGGGTCAAAATAAGGGGGTTGCAATTGTATGGGGAATATAAAAATTAAATTTTAAAAAAGATAGGCTTTCAGTAAACATT